ATTTCACCTTCGAGTTCTGAGATTCTGTCTTCTGTTTGTTCTATTCTGCTGGATTGGCCTTCCATTTTGTTTTGCAATTCTGTTTCATTCTTTTTTCTGAGGTTTTCCATATCCTGAGTCTTTCCTCTTTAATGTTGTCTATTTTTGTCCTGAGTTCATTTATCTCTTTATTAATTGTGTTCTTTGTTTCACTTTGGTGTTTATACAGTGCTTCTATGGTTTCTTTATTTCTTCTTGTTCTTTTTCAAATTCTCTATTTTTGTTGTCTTGGAATTTCTTGAGTGTCTCCTGTACATTTTGGTTGACCATATCCAGTATCATCTCTATAAAATTCTCATTGAGTACCTGTAGTATTTCTTCTTTTAGATTATTCTTGTGGGCTTCATTGGGTTCTTTGGCATAGTTTATCTTCATTTTGTTGGAGTCTGGATCTGAGTATCTGTTTTCTTCATTTCCCTCTGGTTCCTGTACTAATTTTTTGCTGTGGGGAAACTGGTTTCCCTGTTTTTTCTGTCTTCCCGTCATTGCCCTTGGTATTGTTATTGTCCCTGTACTTTGTGCAGTTAAGTATTTTCTGGCTTGTAATAATAACAATGGTGAATTTAGAATAGAAGGCTGAGAGGAGATGGGAAGCAAAGAAGTTAAAAAGGGAAGAACAAATAAACAAGTAGATAAAAACAAAGAAACAAAAAGTTTCAAAGATATAAAGGGAGAGATAGTGTACTAATCAACAGTGAGCTGAACAGGCATCAGAGAGACAGGATTGAAAAATAAATAAATCAATGAATAAATGAAAAAATTTTTTAAAAATCTCCAAGTTCAAATGCAATAAAGTTTCAGTCTTAATAATTTTGGTGTTCATCCCTCAGCTTCCAGTCCTGGAGATGGTGTCTCAGAAATAGTTCTGTCATTGTCTCATCAAAGGGGAAAAAAACCAAACAAAACAAAACGACACAAAACAAAAAAAACACCACAAAGTGTCCCAAGTTCAAATGCAATACAGTTTCAGTAAGTTTTTCAGCATGCAGGTGTAGTTAGGTTGTTGTATCATCAAAGGAAGAAAGAAAAAAAGAGTCTGAAGACAGTTCTGTGAATGGCTATCTGCGGCTGTGGCTTGCCTGCCCGCTGCTGTCAGCCTGCTGTTGCTGGAGGCGTTATTTATGCAGATCTCAGGGGTGAGCTTAACACTCACCTGGCCCCTCAGGCTTTGTTTACTTAGAGTTCTCATGGGCATGACCACCACTGCTACAAGCTTTCCCCTTTCCAAGCACACTGGGGGAGGTGACACTGCACCCGCTTTCTCAGGCTAGTATGTTTGTTTACAGTTCACATGGGAATTGGGTCTTCCCCCTCTCCTGTGGAGTTTTCCTCCTGCTGCCACTTTTACAAGCTTTCCCTCTCCTGGTTGCTGGGCATGTGCCGCTGCTCCTGCCTTCTCCAGCCGGCTTGTTGTGAGGGATTCCCCTATCCCGCTCTTCGGCGCTGAGGGCTCCTCGCCCTTTTTGCTACGTGTCTTTTTTGTTATTGCTTATTATTCAGTTTTTTTCTTTTTTCCCAGGTGGGGGTTGGTCTGTCCAGGGGGCTATGCTGATCTGGCCCAGGGCTGTCTGGGAGTACTGCGTGCCTCTTAGCTCACCTTGTGGTCTGTGTCTTCCCAAGCTGTCTGGGTGCTGGTGTCTGGTGGCAGCGCGGGAGCTCTCCTGGTTTTTCCATTTAACATGAAGTGGAGATGCTGTGCACAGGCTGGAGGTGTGGAGGGGTCAAAGTTTTGCCTCTTCTCGGTGGTTTTTCCTGTGAGGTGTGTCTCCAGTGTCTCTCCAAGATTTTATTTTAGGAGGCACGCTTTCTGCTTCCTCCCTCTAGCCGCCATCTTGGAATCCTCAGCCATACAATCTGAAATGTGCACATAGACATATCTCACCATGAGGGACTCTTCACTTAGGTACATCCAACATCAGAATTCAGTCTGGACAGTAGCCCTTTACTGTTCTTAAGTATGGGCGCGGGCCTGATATTTAAAAATTTCCAGAGCATCACCAAGGCAGTGTTTTTCTAGCTGTGTGTGTGACTGCAGCTCCCAGCCAGGGCCTGCAGGAGGTTGTTTGTGTTCTTAATGATAGCCATTCTGACAGGAGTGGGGTGGAATCTTAACATGGTTTTAATTTGCATTCCTTTATGGCCAGGGATGTTGAGCATTCTTCATGTGTTTTTTGGTCATTTGGACTTCTTCCTTTGAAAAAGCTCTGTTTAGTTCACTTGCTCATTTCTTCATAGGGTCATTGATGTTTTGAAAGTTTAGTTTCTTTTGAGCTCCCTGTATATTCTGGTTATTAATCCATTGTCAAATGTATAACTGGGAAAGATTTTTCTCCCATTCTGTGGGCCGCCTCTTCAATCTGGTGACCATTTCTTTTGTTGTACAGAAGATTTTTAGTTTCATATAGTCCATTTGTCAATCCTTTCTCTTAGTTGCTGAGCCATTGGAGTTCTATTTAGGAAGTTACTGCCTCTGCCTATAAGTTCAGTGTATTTCCTACTCTTTCCTGCATTAGCTTCAAAGTTTCAGGTCTTATATTCAGGTCCTTAATCCACTTTGAGTTGATATTTGTACAAGGAGAAAGAAATAGATCTACCTTCAGTTTTCTGCATGCAGATATCTAGTTTTCCCTGCAACATTTGTTGAAGAGGCTTTCTCTTCTCCATTGTATGCATTGAGTGCCTTTGTCAAAAATCAGGTGGGCATAACTGCAAGGATTCACATCTGGGTCTTCTGTTCTGTTCCATTTGTCTTCATGTCTGTTTTTGTGCCAGTACCATTTTGTTTTTATTGCTATGGCTCTGTAGTATAGTTTGAAGTCAGGTATTGTTACAACTTCAGCATTGTTCTGTTTTCTCAATATTGCCTTGGCTATTCACAGTCTTTTGTGCTTCCAAATGAACTCTAGGATTGATTTTTCCCCATCTCAACAATGACTTTAAAAAAGCAAAAACAGTATATTAATTCTGGAGGTTATTATGAATTTTTCAAAGTAATAGAGGTATGGCTCAAGTGGTAGAATGCCTGCCTAGCAAGCGTGAGGCCCTAAGTTCAAACCCCAGTACCACCAAACAATAATAATAATAATAAAGTCATAAAACTGTATTATGCAAAGAGATTTATGGCTTAGAATAAAATTTCCAAAGATAGCATCACAAAGCTATAGTTCTGTAGTATAGTTTGAAGTTGGGTATTGTTATAACTCCAGCATTGTTCTTTTTGCTCAGTATTGCCTTGACTGTCTGTGGTCTTTTGTGCTTCCAAATGAACTTTAGGATTGATTTTTCCATCTCTGAAATGAATGTCATAGGAATTTTGATGGACATTGCATTGAACATGTAGATTGGTCTTGGTAATGTAGCCATCTTCACAATATTGATTCTGCTAATCCATGAGCATGGGAGATCTTTCCATCTTCTGTAGTCTTTCTTCTGATTTCTTTCCTATATTTTAATCTGTTGTTGTTTTCCTATATTCTTTCTTACTTGCTGAAGGTGTTTATAATGCTTAAGAAGTTTCTTGTTGTTTTGGGGGTATATTAGGAATAAGTTCAAGTCATCTGCAAATAGGGGTAGTTTGACTACTTCCTTTCCTATTTGAATTCTTTTTATTTCTTCTTCCTGTTTTATTCTGGCTAGGAATTCCAAAACTGTTGAATTTTATAAGAGTGAAGAGAGTGGACACCCTTGTCTCCTTCTTGACTTTAGAGGAAATGTTTTCAGTTTTTCCCCATTTAGTATGATGCACCATAGGTTTGTCATATATAGCTTTATTATGTTGAGGTACATTCCTTCTATTTGTAGTTTCATCAGAGCTTTTATCAACAATGACTGTAAAAAAGCAAAAACAGTGTGATTAATTCTGGAGGTTGCTATGAATTTTTCAAAGTAATAAAACGGGTTGGAGATATGAGCCCAGTGGTAGAGTGCCTGCCTAGCAAGTGTGAGGCCCTAAGTTCAAATCCCAGTAACACCAAAAATAATAATAAAGTAATAAAACTGTATTATGCAAAGAGATTTATGGCTTAGAATAAAATTTCCAAAGGTAGCATCATAATTAAAAACTTAAGTTCTTCATCATAAGGAGATTTGAAAAGTTGGGTTAAGTTACTCAAAAAGGTGACTCTAGGAATGATTAAGATTCTAATTTGAAGATACATATAAGAGTTTGAATAAAATCTTTTCATGAAATATGAGTGAGCAAGTATTATAGAACTAATTAAATAATAGTGATTAAAATATATTTAGCTAAAAAGTGTTAGACATTTGATAATTGCATTTACATCTGTAAAGCTTTACATGTTGAGGTTGGTCATAAATTGATAGAGGGTGATAGTGAATAATGAGGTATTACTCAGATTTCAGACACATTTGTGCTGTAAACTTGATTCTCTAAAGTACATATTTCAAAATTACATTTTGAGATGTAGTAAATAGTAATACTATCTGGAAAGATCTCTAAAGGAAATCCTTCTGTTTTATGAATTCTTAAAATATATGTGATAACTGATTTACATTTGGATAGATTTACATATTTTGAATGGGGAGGTTTTGTACCAATTGAAGCTTAGTGAATTGTTTGGCAAGGATTTCAAAGTCTCTATTTATGCTTGACTTCCTTCATTTTTAAATAAGAATTTTTAGACCTCACTTAAATTTGAGAAGAGATCTTTCCTAAATTTGGCATGGTGATGGAATTGTTACATGTGATAGTAAATGATGAACCATTGATTATGGCTTTTAAAGAAAATTATTCCTCAAAGAATAAAATTGAGTTTAAATTACATGGAAATTCTTTAGAAGTGTTTGTGGAGTATTGGACTTGTTTGGGGCTGTATTTGAACAAGTTACCAAGGATTTCCATCAGAGGGGTGTTATTCTTTGCTTCTATTCTTAATTTTTTATTTCCCAGCTTATTCCATATTATGTAGTTTTTCTTCACTTCATTTTACTTCATTATACAGGGTCAGAGTATTATTCCCATGCTTACTCGGGAAGTCATTCCTGTGATGGAATTGCTTTCATCTATGAAATCACACAGTGTTCCTGAAGAAATAGATGTAAGTTCTATGGGAGCATTGTGTCCCTTTATCAGTGCCCCAGAGTTATTCTACTAGTATGTATATTAGTAATATTCTAGTTTTACTAGCTTGCATTTTGTTATACCATCATTCATATGAAGTATTAGCCACAAACAAGTAGTACGCTTACAATCCTGAATTTTCTGACTAAGCAGGCTGGTTTTTTTTTTTTTTTTTCTGTGGTGGGAATGGAACTCAGGGCCTTGCACATGCTAGGCAACTGCTCTACTACTGAGCTATATCCCCAGCCTACAAACAGGCTTTTTTGATCTGTGATAGTTATAGCAAAATTAAATTTAGTTTATTTCACCTTTTTTTATGTTTCCTACTTCCAGTCCTTCTAAAATGCAGTCCTTTTTGAAACAAGTAAATGTGCAAATTAGGGCTGTGGATAGACATTTACTTCACTAATTTAGTTTCCTTAATGGTTTGTTGAAATTTTAAATTTTGTAATTATGCATGTTTAGAGATACCCTTGCAAACTATTCTTACTGCTGTCTTTGTTATTAAGGTTGGTCTTCTAGTTTTGACAGCTCAGAAAGGGAAGTTTTAAAAATTGTTGCTTAACCTGCCTAACCAGCTTTTATTCTGAAAGGTTATGGTGGTGCACAGAGATTGTTTTATGGGTATTCCTGATGCTTAGAAATGAGGGCATTGTGTTATATTGAGTCTAGACTTCAGAAACTTATGTATAAAGTGTTCTTTTAATGCTGTGTGACAGCAGGACTAATTTTTTTTTTGTTACACCTTAGATAGCTGATACGGTACTCAGTGATGATGATATTGGTGACAGTTGTCATGAAGGCTTTCTTCTCAAGTAAGAATTTTGTTTCTTCTCCAAAATGCTGGTGGAAGTGGATATAGATTGCATGCTTGCCCATGACAAGATTTGGAAGGAAGAAAATATTAGAGTCCATACTTACTCAGATTATTCTAGGAACAACATTGCATATTTGAACTGTTATTTATATGTGTGTTGTTTTTTCATTAGTTATTCCTGTAACATATCCAATGTCATTCCTTTCATAATTTAAAGAGGCTAAGTCTCCATAGTGCCCCGACAAGAAGTCTTGGTCCTTTGTTTGGTTTTGGTTCCCTCTTTTACTTCTCATTTAAGCTAAAGCAAGAAACCTTTCAAATTAAGTTGCATTATAGATGGACTTAAGTTATGTAGGCCTAGAAATGGAAGTTAATCATATTTTTTCATCTAACTGTGGGGTTTAGTGCTAGGATTCTAAAACCAAACTTGCCTGGATCACTGCTATATATAACCTTGGGCAAGCTACCTGAAGTTTCTGTGCCTCCATTTTCTCATCAGTAAAATGGTAATGATAATAGTACCTACTTTATAGAATTGTTGTAAATATTGAGTAATAAATAATATAAAGCACTTAGAGCAGTGTCTGGTGCCAGATGACAGTGGCTCACACCTGTTATTCTAGCCACTCAGGAGATAGAGATCAGGAAGGTTGTATTTGAGGCCAGCCCAGGCAGTCCCTATTTCAAAAATACCCAACACACACATACACACACACACACACACACACACACACACACACACGGACTGGCAAAGTAGTTCAAGTGGTAGAGTACCTGCCTAGCAAGCACGAGGCCCTGAGTTCAAATTCCAGCACCACCAAAAAAAAAAAGAAGAAATAGCTATTTATTAGGTCCCAATGTTTTGTCCCACTTAGTAAGTGCTATACATGTATTATGTCATCTTCTATTTTAGTTTCTTTACATTTGTAGATTGTCATGAACATTTTTTTAAATGAGAAGTGAAAGACTAAATATTCACTTTTATGTACATTCTTTTCATTTAGGCCCATGATGGAATATCAGAGGTGTGAGTGTTCAACTTAAAAGTCTTAATTGCTTGAATCAGAAGCACTTTAGTCCTGAATCTGCTCCTGTCAGCAATTCATACATTTTATTTTTTACTTTAAATAAATCATTAACCTCCCTACACATAAGCTATAAAATGATAATTTAGTAACTGGATTGTCTTAAGACTCAAATGACAATCTATAAAAGGCCTCTAGAAATGCAAAGTTTTATATAAATAAAAGATAGCTTTGATGTTCATCATGTAAAGCTGTTCTAGTTATGTCATACTCAGTCACTTTCTTTAAGTTTGTGAAGTCATTTTACAGCCAGTGTTTTCCATGTTTTCTTGAACCTACAGTGCCATCAGCTCACACTTGCAGACCTGTGGCTGTTCTATTGTAGTAGGTAGCAGTGCAGAGAAAGTAAATAAGGTAATTCATTTTGTATTCCAAACTATGCCTGGCTTTTAATACTACCAACGTATCATGGATTATCATTTAAATGTTCCATTGCTCTTGAAATATTCTAATTGTATAAGGAATCAATATAGTTTCACCAAATTACTGTGAACCCTGTGGCAAAAATGAGTTTGAAATAAACTTTTAATAGAAATTCGATAACTCATAAATACCAGCCTCAGTTTATATAAATGGTTTTGAGAAAAGTTTAAAATAAAATATTTTATGTCTTCTATCTCCCAATTTTATCTTTAAAAACATATAAAGATAGCCACATACCTTTGATCCTATCTCTAAAGAAATATTGTTTGATCATTCATCTTGACTTCATTATTTTGGTCTTCCCCCACATCTAACCATGTAGGGTTGCTACTAAATGGACAGTGGAGGTTATGCTTTAGTCAGTAATGTTTTGACTACTTCCTTCAGTGCTACATGCATTAATTAGCAATTAATGAATAGTTATATTTCCAAGCACTCAGTAATAAACTAAGGAATTTTGCACTTTTCTTTACTGACCGTTAATTAGGAAGCATCCAGAAATAAGTGTATATGTATATGTCAACTTAAGGAAACATAATTTTTTCTTAAGTTCTACATGGAAAATATGGGGGGGGGGTGATTGTTTACTTAACAAAGATATTCATTGTTTTTACTTCTTTAATAAGGTACCCTGTGTACTTCTTGAACTTTAATTTGTCAAAATTATATTTATCATACAACTATTTATGAAATTAGTATGCCTCTTTCATTATATTACATCTAGGGACTAGTGGTTTTATTTATTATTTTTGTTACACCAAAAAAGTAGCTTTCCATATGTGACCCTGAAAGCTTTAGGGTTCTATGGAAGATCTTTTCAGTCAGCTTTATGAAGGGAGAAATACTGTATGGTTGGAGCAGTGTTTATTACATATGTATTTCCTTATCCATTATCTTTAGGTTTATCTTGCCTTTTATCTTTTTAATGTGAGAGAAAAGTTGCTATTACTCTAGTTGAAAAACACTACTTTAACATATTAACTCTGAATATAGTCTGAATTCATAGTTATATGGCTTTTTATTCTTCCTAATAGAGCTTTAGGTCAAATCCTGTTAGAATCAGATTTCTAAGCTCCCACAAATGGTTTACTTATTTGAGATCAAATTTGATACATTAATTCTCTTTCTGTTGAAGAGTTTGGCAACTCCTTGATAATCATTATAAAGAGATTTACATAGAGAACTGTTCCAACAGAAACTAATTCTGCCTAATTTAAATATATTTCATTTTCTTTGAAGTTGTTTGCTTGCTTAAAAAAGAGTTGTTACTGGGTAAATATACAGTCAATTATTATAAAAGGTTATTATTTCCACTGAAATTAGGTATCCCTGATTAAATAAGTTTGAGAAAGGCTGCATATTTTAACATTGACCTCAAGAGTCACAATATGTATTCAGATATTACAGATTTTGCAATATAAGCAATTACTTTACAAAGTATTTCTTAAACTGGGCCACCAAAAAAACTTTTTTAAATAATATGTTATATGTAATGGACAATTCCAGATGACTAAGGAACACTTGGTACTCAGGATGTATTTTATGGACAGTAACAAAAATTTCTGTTTAAATTTCTTCCATAAGCAAACCAGGGGTCTTTTTACTTCATATTTAATGCCACACTCTTTTCTTTTGTAGATAGTGAGAACATTATGCCTTTTTCTGACTCCAGCAGAGAGAAAATGCTCCAGATTATGTGAAGCAGAATCATCATTTAAATATGAGTCAGGGCTTTTTGTACAAGGCCTGCTGAAGGTACACTTCCCATTTGTCACAAGAGAAACCAATTTTAAAAAATAATTTGTGAGACTCTTGGTCAAAATACTTCAGATATCAGCATTTCATGCATTTCATGTTTATATACCCAGGGACTGACTTCCTTTATAGAGTTGTGAGCATGGAGTGTATGTCTTACAGATTTATACTTAGTATCATCAGTGAAACACCATGGAATATCTTTTATTGTCCAGGTGGTTCCCTGTGACTATGTGTCTAGCCTCAGGATTTAAAAAAAAATACATGCTTGAATCAGATTGTATCACTCAATAGGAAATTGAATAGGAATATTCAATAGGAATATTTCTTTTTTACTGAGCAGACTTGAATTTTTATTTTACCATTTTGTGTTTTACTACCATATTCATTTAAGATTTTAAAGCATCTTTAGAAGTGTGTAGGAATTGAGAAATTCATATATGTTCTTATATATATATATATATATATATATATGGGGGTTACATCTATGCACATATATTGTACACATAGTAGAAAAAATTGTATTCGTTTAACTGAGTTTACTTTTCAAGAAACAAAACAGATAAATGTAAATTAGCAATTATCTTTAATAAATAAGGAGAAATAATTGTTCATTTTATTTAATCTATTATTGGTGTCTCAATTATAGTCAAAGACATGAAGAAATAGCTTTCCTAAGCATTGTGTGATTCTCTTATAGCAAATGCTTTCTTTAGGATGGAGACATAGCAAAGTAAAAGAAAATATGTAATTGTTACAAGATAGAACGAACATACCTCAGCATAGGAGAGGTTGCATATGAAAACCTACAACCAACAACGTACTAAATAGGTAAAAGCTGAAGTCATTCCATCTAGCATCAGGAACAAGATAAGAATGTCCATTTTCACTGTTCTTATTCAATCTAGTATTGGAAGTCAGCCAGAGCAAGAGAAAAAAAGCAAGAAAGCAAGAGAAAAAAAGGCATCCAAATAAGAAAGGAAGTAAAATTACTCCTGTTTTCAGATGACTTTATTTTGTGCATTAAAAAAATCTAAGGGCTCCCAGGAAACTGTTAAAACTGATAAGCTAAGTAGGGATGCAAAATCAACATAAAGAAATCAGTAACATTTTTTGTATACCATTAACAAAATTGCTGAGAATGAAATCAAGAAAACAATCAATTCATAATAGCTACAAAAAGAAAATACCCTAGGAATTAACTTAACCAAGGAAATGGATGATATCTACAATGAAAATTATAAAATATTGATGAAAGAAATCAAAGATGACAATGTTCATAGAGTGAAAGAATTAATGCTGTTAATCCATACTACCCAAAGCAATGTATAGAATTATTGCAGTTCCTCTCAAAATACAGAATACTTTTTTCAGCCTTTACAGAAATAAAACACTCCTAAAATTTGTATGGAACCACAAAAGACACTGTTTGGGTCTGGAATATTCCCCAAGGCCTCATGTGTTGAAGGCTTTATTCCCAGCTAGTGGTGCTATTGGCAGGTGGTAGATACTTTAGGAGGTGGAGGCTTAGTTGGATGAAGTAAGTCACTAGGAGCATGCCCTTGAAGAGTATGTTGGGGCCCCGGCCTGTCTGCTTCCCCACCCTCCCACCTTGTCATAGACCCAAGACAATGGAGCCAGCTGGCCACAGATTGAAACCTCTGAAACTGTGAGCCAAAATAAATCTTTCCTCCTTTTAAGTTGATTTTCTTAGGTATTTTGTCACAGCAGTGGAAAGCTGGCTAACACAGACCCTAGATGGCTAAAGCAATCTTAAGCAAAACAAACACAACTATAATACCTAGTTTCAAAACATACCACAAAGCAGTAGTAACCAAAAAAGCATGATACTGTCATAAATACAGGCACGTATACCAGTGGAATAGAATTGAGAGATATAAATCCTTGTATTTACAGCCAACTGATTATACCAAGAATATACATTGGAAAAAGGAAAGTCTTCTTTAATGAGTACTTCTGGGAAAACTAGATATCCATAAGTAGAAGAATGTAAACTATATTGCTATCATCATATACAAAACCAAGTCAAAATGGATCAAATAATTAAACATGCAATCCTAAATTATAAAACTATTAGAAGAAAACAGGAAAAATGTTTCAGGACATTGGTTTGAGCAAAGATGTTTTGAATAAGACTTTAAAAGCACAAGCAACAAAAGCAAAAATTGACAATGAGACCACATCAGAAAAGTCAAGAAAGTGAAGAGACAGCCTACAGAATGGGAAAAAAATATTCATGAACTATTCCAGAATGTATGAGAACTCAAAACAACTCAACAGCAAAAAAGAAAGAAAGAAAAGCCCTTCCAAGGAATCTATTTTAACATGACCTGATACATATAGGCTGGTGGAGTAGCTCAAGTGGTAGAGCACCTGCCTAGCAAGTGTGAGGCCCTGAGTTCAAACCCCAGTCCTGCCAAAAAAAGAAGAGTAAAATAAAGACATTTTAAAAATAATAATGTATACAAATGACCAACAAATATATGAAATACTGTTGAACATCAGTAATTACTGGGGAAATACGAATCAAAACCACAATGAGGATATCGTCTCACCCCAGTTAGAATAAGTATTATCAAGAAGACAAAAACAACAAATTTTGTTAAGGATATGGAGAAAAGAGACTTGTCATACATTGTTGGTGGAAATGTAAATTAATATGCCATTATGGAAAACAGTGTAGGGATTCCTCCAAAAACTAGAAATAGGGCTGGCAGTGTAGCTCAGTGGTGGAGCGCTTGCCTAGCATGCACAAGCCCCCAGGCTTAATCCCCAGCATTGCAAATAAAGAAACAAAAGCTAGAAATATAACTGCCATATAATCCAGCAGCCCCACTACTGGGTATATACTCAAAGAAAACGAAATTGGTATGTGGAGGAAACATGCCCTTACATGTTTATTGCAGCATACTCAACAATAGCCAAGATTTGAATAAATCTAGATGTCCATTGATTGATCAATAGATAACATGTGGTATATATACACAACGAAATATTATTCAGTCATTAAAAAAGAATGAAATTCTGTCATTTACTGCAACATGGATGAAAACTGGAGGACATTGTGTTATGTGAAGTTATGTGAAATAAGCCAGACACAGAAAGACAGATACTGCATGTTCTCACTCATATGTGGAAGCTAAAAAGTTGATCTCATAGCAGCAGAGAGTAGAATAGTGGTTACCAGAGCTTGGGAAATATGTAGGGGAGAGGGAATGGAGAAGGGGGTTAGTGTTTTTAGAGATAAAGTTGCCTAGGAGGAATATCTATGACTGACAATAGTCACTTGCATATTTCAAAATATCTAATAGAGAGGAATTAGAATATTTCCAACAGAAGGAAACGATAAGTGTCTGAAGTGATAGGTATGCCATTCTAATTGTATCATTACACTTTGTATATATTCATATGTACTGAAATTTCATACTGTACCCCATAAGTATGTACTGTTACTGTTTTAGTTAAAAATAAAAACATTTAAAAAATAAAATAGTTGCAAGTTAAAACTCAGCTCTTAGGGTCTGGGGATGTAGCTCAGCATTAGAGTGATTGCCTAGTGTGCACGATGCCTTGGGTTCAGACCCTGGTATGATAAAAATTAAAAATAAATAAATGTTTTAAAACCCAGCTTTGGGGTTTCAGATAATGCACCTGCTCTGAGCTCAGAACAATAGTGTTTATATATAGAAACTGAAGGAAACACTTTTCTAACTTGAATTTACAAATCTGAAAATTATATTTCTTCCTGTAAAGACATAATAAAATGCTTAGTTTATTTCCTCAGCATTCTCTCATTTAACTATATAATTTTAGTCATGAAAGAGACCTATACCTGTACCAGATGCATAGTGGAAAACTTGAAACTATGGTTTAGTAAACTTCAAGAGTTCTCCATGCAAATCTAAATTATCTAGCTTTTCCAGAAAATACCTTGACTTTATACAAAGATGATTATCACAAAGTTAAAAAATGTAAACAACCTGTGTATTCTGTTCTGTTCATGGCACATGGCACAGTACCTCCTTCACAGTAGATATTTGTTACATGGTAACTGGCTACCTAGCTGACTAGAGACAAGTAAATGCTTTACTTACAAAAATACAGATTCATGTAGGCATAAAAGAACAGAAAAAGAAAAAGTCAATCACAATTCCACAATCCATCATTTCATAAATAATAACTAATGTGTTTTCTAGTCTTCATTTTCTTTTGTGTGTCTTCATTGCCCCCCACCACCATTGGATTATGCTCTGCATGTTCTAATCTTCTGCTGTCGTGATATTTTGAAAGCTTCTCAGTACAACGGAGTTTAGTAACTATTTTTAGCAGTTAAATAATTAAATAGTTAACATAGTTTTTACTACCACTCCTCTTTTTGAATGCTTAGGTTCTTTCTGATGTTTTGCTATTAAGACCAATATGACACTCTTGTCACTAAGATTGGACACATAATCATAATAACTTTCATAGAATAAAATAAAAGCCAGGTTTTATTTATTTGTTTGTTTGTTTTGCAGTGTTAGAGATTGAACCCAGGGCCTCCCACTTGTGCTAAGCCCCCAACTGTTTTGCTTATATTTTGTCTTTGAGATGGGGTCTTGCTGACTTTACCCAGGCTGACGTTGAACTCTCGATCCTCCTGCCTCCACTTCCTGAGTAACTGGAATTGTGTGCATGTGCTACCATACCTAGCTAAAGCCAATTTTCTTGAATTAAAAAAAGGTTGTTTATATCATTTGGCATGTGGACACTAAGTTTGTCTTTCACTCTGATAGGATTCAACTGGAACATTTGTACTACCCTTCCGGCAAGTGATTTATGCTCCATACCCCACCACGCACATCGATGTGGATGTCAATACAGTCAAGCAAATGCCACCATGTCATGAACACATTTTTAATCAACGTAGATACATGAGATCAGAGCTGACAGCATTCTGGAGAGCCACTTCAGAAGAGGACGTGGCTCAAGACTCCATCATCTTCATAGACGAAAGCTTCACTCCTGATTTGTATGTAATACTCTGCCTTTTGGCCAAACAACATGAAACTGTCTTTTATGAGTAAACAAGTTATATTTAAAAGAAATAATGATGCTTGAAGAAACATTGAAACAACTATTTTTTCTTAAGTGTTCACTTTTAAGATATAATTACGCTTCTCCTAAAGTTAAAGGTTAAAATTAGCCCTTAAAATAAATAAATATTTATTTAACAAATGCATATGTTGAGCTCTTAGGCACTTTACTGAGTGCTGGTGTTAATGACGGTCAGTCAGATAGCCCCAGGACCTACATTGCTTATAATTTAGTGTGTAACAGATTTATTAACTAAATGAAACCAAA